GTAAGATAATGATATTGGCTATGTCTACACTACCGCGGTAAGTCGACCTATGCTACGCAACTCCAGCTACGTGAATAACGTAGCTGGAGTCGACGTACCTTAGGTCGAGTTACCGCTGGGTCTACACTGCGGGGGGTCGACGGGAGAAAATCTCCTGTCAACTTACCTTACTCTTCTAGTCGGGGGTAGAGTACAGGGGTCGACTGGAGAGCGATCTGCAGTCGATTTGGTGGATCTTTACTAGACCCACTAAATCGACCCGCTGGGGCGCTGTAGTGTAGACCTGCCCATTGTCTCATTGCTTCCTTGTGCTCCCCCATCTGTCTGGCTGTATCCATTTGTCGTCTCTTGTCTTATACTTAGATTGGAAGCTCTTTGGGCCAGGGACCATCTTTTGGTCTGTGTTTGTACAGCACCTAGCACCGTGGGGTCCTGGTCCATGACTAGGGTTTCTAGGGGCTACCGCAAAACAAATACTACTACCGCTAATAATAAGACACATCAGAGAAGAGGTTTGTGCCGGACAAATGGAAGGGGGAGATGAATGAGGTAAAAGAGCAACCGATTGCTTCTTACGAGCAGTTGTGTGATCTCCCCTAAAGTGCTTTAGGGGTGACCCCAACCTCTAATTACTGGGGGTTAGGAGGAAAAATTCCCCTGGGGCAGGTTATTCTGTTGCACTATCTGGCACTGACCCTGTTGGCGACCCAATATTGGTCCCCAGCTCTGATCCTGTCTGGCCATTGCTATCTTCCTGTGTAAAGGGGAAACCTTAATTTTTCCTCTCGGTAAAAGATTTTCTAACAAACAGATTTACTTTCCCACCCCCACAAAGAGCAACATCAGATCCACTTCGTTCCAATAAGGGGAGGGACCATCCTAATCAAATTTTGATTATATGCCACCAAAAAACCAAAACCCCTCTATGTGGCAACCAATAAACTTGATTAGAAATTACCGAAAGTTCCATTAACTGTAGTCTTGGGATTTGTGTGCTGAGACTCAACTAATTTTAGGTCTCCATTCATTTTGCAGCAGACACAACACTGCATTCAGTCATTCAGAGCCAGATGGGACAATATACTGTAGTGACCAGAAAAAAAAATAGAGTGTTGCAGAGGAAGAGAGGCGGGGGTGTGGGTTGACTGGGAAAAGGAGCCTGGTCTTTCCTGATTTGCAGTCATGTGGATTTAGTCAGCATCTCCGGGGGCAGATCTTCTAATGTTGTTTACCCCAGGGAGATTACGTCCCTATTTATGGTTAAGCATCACTTGTCTTATTGTTTCTTCTTAGCTTGAGAAACCTGCCAGTTTCATAGGCACATTCTGCAGGAACCAACACATGCAATGCCCAGGACTGTCACGTTGAGACATTAAACAAGCAAGCAATAACGAAGCCTCTTTTGCCTCTTTAGAAACTGGGCATTGGGGGTGGGAGGCGGGCAAGGGGAAAAAAAAAAGAGAACGGTGTTTGCCATTGACAGAGGATTCAGTCAATACCTGGGCACGGGATCCTTCCAGTCCCCTCTTTTGTTCGCCTTATTAGCTCTCGAGAACTCATTAGCCCGGATGCTGCCAAACAAACCAAAATGGAAGCGCAGCCATTTCCAAGTGCCCCCTGCTGCATCTGCGGCATCAGGCACTGAACATTCCGTTTCCTGCTTTCTCGGCACACTGTGTTCTTTGGGGTTTAGCTGAGAGACCTCATCCTCCTGTTTTTCCTGAGCAAGGGTAAGGGAGCACGCCCCGCGGTCAGCCTCTCCTTGGATGGTTGGCTCTTCTTCCACAGGACCTGGAGATGGGCTTCCACCCATGGTCCATGCTTCCAGAGCGGCACCGAATGCCAGGAATAAATTCTTTCCAGAGGCCTACAAAATAAAAGTCAAGGGAAGCGTTTGAGGACGTATGCATTTGCAAACAATGAACAATTTAAGGTAAGTAACCCTCAGCGCCTGAAGGCGAGGTTCAAAGTGAAGGGCATTCAGTTAACGTGAGGGAACTGGAGGACTCTCTGGGAGATATGAGCTAGCAACATTAGAGCAGGGACCCACATCCCAAGAAGTCTTGTTCTCTTTGCCAGTCTAACTGAAGCATCAGTAGGGCAGCTATGGGCATCAGTGCATACCCCGCAGGTAGTGTAATGAATACCAAACTGTATTATACTGATCAGCCATTAGGTGGTGCTGTATGTAACATGCCTTATTTATGCTAACCTGGGCCATATCTGGCAGAGCATTAAAGGATTTTATAGTGAGCACCTCTGGTGCGTCTCTCTCTGAGAAGTAAGCTCTGTAGTCAGTCTAGATCTGACATGGAAGCCTGACCTGCTAATAGCAGCCCTGCAGTCTCCTATGTGCAAGAAGTGCATGACAGGTAGAGAGATTGTTTACAAGCTGAAGAGGCCCTTCAGCTTGGAACAGCTACCCTAGGAAGCCCAGTGCAGCCACAGTGGAAGCAGTGACGTTGCCTCTGGGACTGGAGCATCCATGGGGAAAAAAATAGGGGGTGTTCTGCACACATTAGGAACACACCGATCAGCTGTTCGGTGGGCCCCGCCGATCAGCTCCTCCCCCTCCGCACCTCCCTACCGCCGCCAATTGGCTGTTCGATGACAGGCGGGAGGCACTGGTGGGGAGGAGTGGGGGCAGGAAGAGGCGGAGCGAGGGCAGGGTGCGCTCAGGGGAGGGGGCAGAGTGAGCGTGGGGCCTTGGGGGAAGGGGTGGGGTGGGGGCTTGGGATGGAGCACCACTGGGGACAGCTGAAAGTCTGGGCCTGTGAGTTGTGGGGTTGTGCTGACGTAACAATGAATGACATCAGACTCTGATGACCTAATGGTTCTCCAGCAGTTCCCCTCTTCCACTTGGCTGTGAGGAAAGGTCTCCTCTCTGTTCCCCTTATCCTTATTTACTGCAAAATGGGCTGAGGCCAAACTAATCTCACGTGCTCCTAAACCAAACAAACAGCTGCCAGGTGGAAGTTATTTTTGGTTACTAAGGGACCTGGCCAGGATGGGATAGAATCCCTATCCCCTATCCCAAAGCCATGCTGAAAGTAATGTGCATATTCATTGTGGACTTTGGTCTACATTCATGACAGCATAAATTTAAACGTGTGACAATTTCTTTAGGTCAAATCCTGAACTTAGAGTAGCTTATAAATGTAAGCAGGAGAATCTCTGAAGGTTTGTGTGTTCCTTAATCGTTTGTAAGAGGATATAAAGGGGGTGGGGGTCTGTTCAGGGACTTCGTTAACACTGAACTGGCTGCAGCAATTGCTAGTCTGAGCTGAGGAGAGGAGCCATCCTCGGCTGACGGAAGGAATATCCAGCCAAGCCAACAAAGGCTCATGCTCCTATACATATTTGTTACAGTTCCAGGGAGATTGCCAGAATGGGCAGCAGACTTCAGTGATTTTGCCCAGCATGCCTGGTTTCTAATCCTGCTTCAGGGTCTCCCATGGAAGATCTGGGCCTGTAAGCACCTGTACAGATAGAACATGGGACCAGAGGGGTGGTTCTGGGCCTCTGACGTGTCAACGTTGCCACAGGCTAGGTTCCCACTGGAGAACACTGTGACGCTAGGCTTGGCAGGAAGTATCGCCCTGCAAAGCCCGAGTGGTGGGCCCTCACTGCCCACTGATTGGCCAATACCAGTATTTAAACCAGGAAGTTAGCATGACGAACTGCCTGGACAACAACACTGCCCACCAGCTTGCCTGCGAAAGACCCTGGAGTCTGGCTTCTGACCCTGGTTTGACCTTGACTTTGCTATTTGACGGCTGTCTGTAACCTGGCGCCTGACCCTGACTTCCTGGCATTCTGACCCGGCTCACTCCTGACCCTGCTACTTGTCTCCTGATTGCAACTTAGCAGCTGACCAGGGCTCACCCAGCTGCCCATGGCCCGGCCCTGACAGGGACATAGTGAGCATAGTTAAATATTGCACCGAAATCTCATCCCTGTTTAATACAAGATACAAGGGAGAAAAAAAATCTGTGAGCCACTAGAATTCCCTCTGCTCCCCTTTCCCTTTCAGCATCAGCAAGGAGGGAAGTAGAAGGAAAGAGTGACACTTCCCATCTCAGCAACTGGGGATAGGAGAGAGAATGGAGACAGTATCACAGAGCCAACAACTTCAGAGTGTGCCCATCACATAAGAACGGCCATACTGGGTCAGACCAAAGGTCCATCAAGCCCATTATCCTGTCCTCTGACGGTGGCCAATGGCAGGTGCCCCAAAGGGAATGAACAGACAAGTTATCATCAAGTGATCCATGCCCTATCACCCAATCCCAGCTTCTGGCAAACAGAGGCTAGGGACACCATTCCTGCCGATCCTGGCTAATAGGTCCATGAATGGCTATCTTCCATAAATTTATCTAGCTCCCTTTTGAACCCTGTTATCTAGCCTTCACAACACCCTCTGGCAAGGAGTTCCAGAGGTTGACAGTGCATTGCGTGAAAAAATACTTTCTTGTGTTTGTTTTAAACCTGCTACCTATTAATTTCATTTGGTGGCCCCTTGTTCTTGTGTTATGAAAAGGAGTAAATAACACTTCCTTATTTACTTTCTCCACACCAGTCATGATTTTATAGACCTCTATCATATTCCCCTTTAGTCACCTCTTTTCCAAGCTGAAAAGTCCCTGTCTTATTACTCTCTCCTCAGACGGAAGCCGTTCTATACCCCTAATCATTTTTGTTGCCCTTTTCTGAACCTTTTCCAATTCCAGTATATCTTTTTTGAGATGGGGCGACCACATCTGCACGCAGATGTCACGGGTCAGGTTGTCACAACACACATCAGTCGATGAGGTTGCCTACCATGGCATGGAGCCGATCGGTGACTGCTAGTAGCAAATATCCCCAACGGTCAGTGATGGGACACTGCATGGGGAGGGCTCTGAGTTGCAACAGAGAATTCTTTCCCAGTGTTTGGGTCTTGCCAAAATACTCAGGGTCCAGCTGATCGCCGTATTTGGGGTCATGAAAGAAATTTTCCCCTGGGTCAGATTGGCAGACACAAGGGATGCGAGGAGGTTTGCCTTCCTCTGCAGCACGGGGCACGGGTTACTTGCAGGTTTAAACTAGATTTTCCATAACTTGAAGTCTTTAAACCAAGATTTGAGAACTTCAGTAACTCGGTTAGGGGTCTATTACAGGAGTGGGTGGGTGAGGTTCTGTGGTCTGTGATGTGCAGGAGGTCAGACTAGATGATCACGATGGTCCCTTCTGGCCTTAAAGTCTATGAGTCTGTGATTATTTGGTGGGCCTCTGCATGGCATTCAATGATGCATTGGCCCTTGACAGTGAAGCCCTGTTGACTTAAATTCCACTAGGAAGTTAATTTATTCTGGGTTATGAACAGTCAACAAGCAAAGCAATCTGGGTATTTTCCCTGTGCGTACCCTAGTTTCCCCACGTCCCCCACGACCCTCAGCTCAACCTTCTCAATATAGAGTGGCCACTGTTCACAGCTGAAGGTGCCTTCACGTTAGTCCCGTAGCCATGTGGGTAGTGCCTAAGTCTGTCTGTACAGCACCTGTTTAGAGCTGCAAACTAGGGACATGTTCCACACTGAGCCCAAGAGGCTACTCGGATGTTACTATAGGTTTTCCCACATGCCAACACCCTGCACCTTTGCAGCACCAGTTTGTGAGGCAGGGCTGACATCTCCAGACAAAGCTACCTTTTAGCATAGCTCACCTGAGAGTCCTGGAGCCTCATTGCTTTCAGATCCTTCAGGTTTCTCTGCCTGCTGCTTCCTCCCACCTTGGCCACTACCTGCCCCACAAAAGGAGCAGTCAACAACTGGAACCTCTTCACAGACGGGCCTTCTGGCATCTCTGGCTGAATTCAATGGAAGCTGCAGGTGTACACGGCTGGGGGTCTCACACAGGGTACCCTAGAGCTGAAGTGCATAAAATCAGTGACTGCTTAGGGAAATGTGGTTGCACATAAACAGGCCATTGTCCCTGGTCCTCTCATCTTCCGTGATCATGCTCCTCACCCCTATGGGAAGGGTTATAGAAACACTCCGATCATTTCCCTTTCCCCACTCAAACTCCAGCTGCAACAGGAAAGTCTGCAGAGGGCTGAGCCTGGCCTGTGTATCTCAAGCTGACAAGCAGCAACACTCTGGTTTAAGCTTATGCTCTCCCATTAGATTCAATGGATGGGGCTTTTATCCTCATCTCAGCACGGTCATTATACAAAAAAAAAATACTGTCCTAGTTCCCCTGCTACAATATCCCTGCCTCCCTGTTCCCTCACGTTGGGATGTCATTGGGCATGCCCTGTTGAATACTTTGTGATGTGGATACTGGGGAACCGTGTTGAGACCACCAAACAGCCAGCAGATGGTAACAGCTTCCAGTCAACAGGTTCAAGCCGGGAAACTAGAAGTGAAGTGCCAGTCCCATCATTCCCAGTCCCCTAGAGCCATCCACTCCACCCTCCAAAACTATCCTCTCTTTCTCTCTTAAAATGCATTGGCATGAGACAGCCCATAAGTCAGAGGGGTGGATTGTGCAGCCCATCTGAACAGTGACAGCAAGGGAGCAAAACCACAGCCTTGTTTGCAGAACTGCACCGTGTGAATTGTCCCTGCTTCTGTCACTTAAAAGGAGCCAGTGGGGGCTTGATCCTGGGACATCAGTGAGAGTTGGCAGAGTGAGGAATAGGACCCAGGAGTCTTGACCCACTGTCCCCTGCTCTAAGCACTAGGACATGCTGCTTCCCTCTGGATTAAATAACAGAATAAAGTTAGTGCCACTTGATTCTGAACAAACTAATATAACCAAAGCCAGATAACAACCCAGGAGAGGAGAGATCTTAAAACAGGTTTGTTTGCTTTATATCGTTCTCAACCATCGCGTTCATCCCTCCCACAGCCCTTGTTTCAAGGGGCAGCACTCATCTCACCGCCAAAACTCCCTACACTCCCCAAAAATCTAGTACCCCTCATTTTCCCTGCCGAGAACAATTCACATCAGACACACAAAACCCCAGCACTGAGGTGAGAGAGTTATTAGCTCTGTAGGAAGAAATCCCACAACACTGGGAGTTTCCTGCATGTCCCTCCTGTCGGGTCTTTGTCGCACACCATATCCCGCATTTGGGCCTTCCTCACCTGACAGCAGGGCTGCATCTATTACTGGCCAGGCAGCCTGGGGGCTTAAACACCAAGGCTCTTTCTAATTGTCTTCAATTTGGTGATGTCACACGCAATGAAGACAGGAAGAGCCCCACTGATACTCACTGTGTGCCTGTTAGGACAAGCCACAGAGGGGAGCAGAGCCCTGCTCATCCCAGCCTCTGCTCTGTCCCACGCCTGACCACACCCCAGATCTGCCACTGTCTGAGCTCTCCCTCCTGCCAGTTTCACACACCACACCCTCTGCAGGCTTTGCACAAAATAGTACCCATTTGTCAGACCCGCTCAGTCGAATACCTAATTACAGCTCTCCAGAGCAATCGAGCCCAGAGTTACTAATTGGGCCATGTTTTTGTTCTGCATCGGGGGGTAGCCCTGTTAGTCTGTATCCACAAACACAACAAGGGGTCCGGTGGCACCTTAAAGACTAACAGATTTATTTGGGCTTAACTTTCGTGGGTAAAAAAACTCACTTCTTCAGATGCATGGAGTGAAAGCATATTTGTTCTGCATATTTGGGGGGAGGAGAGTCAGATCCTGATGCTCCAGAAAATCATGGAATTAACTTAAACATAGTGAGATTTAAAAAAAAAAGTGTTGGGGTCTTTGTCTTCTGGTTTTTGAGCCTCTCCAGTTCTTGTTTTCAAGTTTTTCTGTGCAATTGTGAGGGCTAGAAACATACATGTTTATTTAAAAAGTAAAGCTGATATTTGCACTTAAGAATTATTATGATCATGGTCAGGGTGATGATGTTTCTTAGGGTAGTGCCGAGGGGTACTAGGCTGACGTGCAAACACAGAGTAATAAACAAAGTCCTGCAATCACATCCCTCCAAGGAGCTTGGGTTTTAAGAAGCCTGCCAGCAATCATGAGATGCGGTGGCAACTCTGCATCTAGGCTTTGATTGTGCCTGTGAAGCACTGGCCCATGCTGGGGGCTCTGCAGAGCTGCGCTGCCCCAGGGGAGTTCCAGAAACCATTGTGCTCCAAGAAGGAACAAGGCCTCCCAGAGCAATCAGTGCGCCAGGAAGCTTCCCCACTCCCACTGCCTTTAAAGAGGCACTTGCCCGTCACAGCTGGCAGCTCTGCTAGCCAGTGGGCAGGTGAGGAGGAAAGCCAGGACTGTCTTCCTGCCCCTCCGTGAACTTAGCTCGAGCCACTTCCCCTCCGCACTCTGATGTGCTCCCACCCCCATACTTCCTCCCTCTTTTGTTGTTTGAGGTTTTGCCTTTCCCGGCTTTTCAAAATGCAAAAATGGGACACATGCAGGAGCTCTGGCCCGCCACTCCCACCGGGCGGTGGGGCTGCGAGCTCCTGCTGCTCTGAGCAGCGTGGTAAGGGGGCGGGGAGCGGGGGCGTTGGGTAGGGTTACCATATTTAAAAAATAAAAAAAGAGGACACTCCATGGGGCCCTGGCCCCGCCCCTTTCCCACTCCCAGCCCCACCCCTTCCCCGCCCCTTCCCCACCCCAACTCCGCCCATTCCCCGCCCCTTCCCCAAAGTCCCCGCCCTAACTCCCCCTCCTCCCTCCCAGCCACGCGAACGGCGCTGCCCAAGCACTACCGGCTTCACGGTTTGCCGGGCAGCCCCCAGACCCTGCGCCCCTGGCCGGCGCTTCCCCAGCACAGCTGGAGCCCGGGAGGGGAAGCGCCCAACCGGGGGCGCAGGGTCTGGAGGCTGCCTGGCAAACCGTGAAGCCGGTAGCGCTCGGGCTTCGGGCAGCCCCCATGC